TCACATATACAAGCTGTCATGACAGGTGGAAAAATTTAAATAAGGCAGAGTGAGATGGGTCGGGTCCATATCCCCTCCCCTGCTCCGGGCTGGCCCTCCCCTGGCGCGCTGTGCCGAGACATATAAATTACTGTGTAAAAACATTCGCAAGGTATTTTTTTCCACATATGTCGCAAAATAAGTCCACTATATAGGTAAATATTATTTTATTTAGTTTATTAACATTAGGAAATTATTTTTCTATGTGAAGATTATAAGATGAAGTCTTTAAATAAATCAATTTTCTAATCTCAAATTCATTCAATGAGAATTAAATGCTTCGTTTAAAATCGTACTGAATTCGCACAAAGCCTTTGTCGAAAATAGGTTTGATGTAGGTAAATGGTATCGATAACGTATGTTCGGTTGTTCAATGGCAACCACGGCGGAGGATCAAAGGGAGAGTTGTTGAGCGGCTCGTCACAGTTTGCCTTTGATTAAATAACATCGCGCTGTGCCGGCAGCGGTGCTGCCCTCTATAAACTCCTGATTAAATTCAATTCAGTATTTAAATGACAAGCCCAAAACCCCAGCTGAGACTATATTAACCTATATTAACAAATCACAAAGATTTATCCTCACACATATATTAAAAAATACCATGTGAACATTAAGTCTCTTGGAAATTCATAATAAAACTGTATGTATATTTCTATAATAAAAAGAAATAAACATCGTAGAAGCACTAGGACCCTCTTACTTATCGCTCTCGTTAGTCTACACATTTATTGTTGGCTATACTTGTTGTCTTGGTTTAGTTCAAGTTCATTATCATCGACAGATTTAAGAGAAAATACTATTTAAAATTTATCATCGTAATTAATATTTTTCATTTTGCTATTTAATAGATATTAATACGTTGTTATTACATAAAAAGTCTCCATCAATTTAGTCTGCATAAAATCCTTTGAATATTTTTCCATCCAGTCTTTTTGTCTCTAAAATCTAGCAAAGAGATGTGATAATACTTCACCAGCTTGCCTGTTTCCTTTCGAGGAGAATGTGTCACATTGACGTTGTCAGATTAAAACGATCCGTCAGAGTGTGTGAGGGTTGGGGGTGTAGTCCTGCGCAACCTCTTTGTGTCGGGAACTGTCGTGAGTTATATGGGTGCTGGACTGACAAACAGCTGCCAGATGCGACTTTTGCTAATATAATATGCAGGCGCTGCGCTTTCTTTTTAATATTTACGATTTTGAGATAGAGATGGTAATAACGAAACGCACCCACACAAAACCTACAACGTTTGGTTAGTTTTAATTGATATATCTCACTGGATTGGATTGCTTGTTAATTAATTACTACTTTATACAAATATTTGCTCTTAAATAATATAAACTCAATTAGTAAAAGCAATTGTAAAGTTGCTTCCACTATTCACATTTACCAACAAATTAATCATAAAAACGACAAGGCTCAAAGTTTTCCAACCAAAACAACTAATTTAAGTTCTATTTTATTTATGTTTAACTTTTATATAATGTTTTCGTGACTGAACTGTGGGAATTGCAGCTACAAATCCTGCTCATTTGGCTAACGTGATCTGTGACAGGTATCGGCCAAATTTGGCGCTCGCTCACATCAAATCCAATTACAAGCTGTGCCAACTTGATAAATTGACACTTATGTAGTACTCGCAAATCTCCTGCCGCCACCTAGTGAACATTAATATGTATACAGGTAATTTACACCTAACTTATGCCCTAATTTTTGCGAATTACAATGAAAAGAATTTTTAAACTCATTTTACTCTTTACATATCTGTTAAGGACCCTCTTTGTGGGAGATTGATGTGTAGAAACACTCAATTATACCTTCTACAGTTAGTGTAATTTTTTATAAGTTATATTTAGCGTACAGTGAACTGAACAAATGTAAAGCTATAAACTAAACTGTATATGAGACATGTATTATAATTGTTTAAATACATTCAACAAAGCCCAATTACAAACACATCGCGCTCGGAATAACGAGTCGGCCGCGTTATTAAATGTAAAGCTCTGTGTGAGCCCTGTGCGGGATACGGCGGGATCACGTGCCATGTAATGAACCTTATGACATGGAAACTGACAGGACGTAGCCCGCCGTTGTATAACCAACTCCTAGTAGCAATAGCATCGTAACCTAAGCGACATTTAACTGATGAACTCTTATTAAATGGTTCGTTTTGAATATATTTTTGTTTAAGGTAAATGTACTTATTACAATCTTATTTGTTACAAACATAAGAATGGCTGCCAGCTTAAGTTACAAATATCAGTTACATACAGACGGACACGTATTTTAACAAGAATTTTTAGCTTACAGTGTAGCATCTGAATGAATATAATATAAATAATTTCAAAGCGTAATGAAATGTTTGTAAAGCGGTGTTCAAACACAGCAGAGAGTGTGCTGTTTGTTTGTAATGCTGTCGATTATCGCGGGACGAATTAATTAATATATAAATGTTATTATGTTGTACTTATTGTTAATATCTCTTACTTCTACCACGTGGCACTCATGTAGTGTAATAGTTTACTTATCATTTTTAAAAATGATCAATTTTTGACAATGGCAATTTTTTTTATTAGTTGATAAAATATAATTGATATTATAATTGTTCATTGTGAGTTATAAAATACTTATTATTAAAATATGTTTTACAGCATATCGCATATCTATAAATAATTATTAATTCCAAACTTAATATATGTTAAGTAGGTACAACGAGGCTTACCGTGTTCGGGGGATGTTCGAGGGATGTTTGCCGGATGCAGATTTTCACGCTTGGTGCCTCACAACAAAGGGATTTTCATAAGTCGCAGAGTATGCGTCGGAAATGTGAGCCCGGTGTCTGTGGGCGAGGGAGGGGGGTGAGGGTAGCGAGAGGCGGGGCGGGGAGGATGCTGTGTGCATCCACTCACACGGGTTATAAGGACTTCAAAACACGACCCAACAACTATGCACTAATTAATCTCCATAGGAATTTAAAAAATCTATTCTTATTTATATGATTAACGCATATG